TTAGAACCCTTGACACTCTTTATGTAAATATGAAGCACGTCAATTTTATCACTAAATTCATTGTTGTCCTTCACCATATTCTGATATGCTGGAAGTTGGTTAATTCTATCATGGAGCTCATCCCTACCCTTTGTTAATTTATTCAGAGATGCTAAGACCCATTGACCAGCATCATTTTCCTTGTTTTTCCTCAAACTGTCAAAAGTTTCATAGAAGGGGTCACCAAATTCATTGTTGCACACAAATGGCAAATCAAGATAACCAAATGCACTTCTCTCCTTACGTTTGTAATATAGTCCACACCATGGGCTTTCAGTGCTCTCCCAGCTCCCAGGGAAGGCTTCAGTAACTGTAACCACAGGTGTTGACAAATTGAAAGCCTCTTCCAGATACTTAAGATTCATCCTTACACTTCTGTTGCTCTAGACCCAATTCTGGTACCAAAACCTGCATTACTCAGGCTTATCTAGAGTAACAGGACTTACAGAACGAATCTTTATACATACATACATACATACATACATACATACATACATATATATATATATATATATATATATATATATATATATAAAGGATTTATTAGAACGACTTACAGGATGCAGTCCAGCTAATCCAACAATGGCTAGCTGTGAATGGAAAATCCAAGAATCTAGTAATTGCTCAGTCCCGTAAGGCTGGGTGTCTCAGCAGGCCTTCAGTAGATGCTGGAATCCTGAGAAAGTAGGCTCTAACCCTACCCAGGCCACGCAGGCAAAGAGCAAAGCTTCCTTCTTCCATGTCCCTAGTTACTCTCCAGCAGGCGTGTCTTTGCCCAGGTCAAAAGATCTGGATTTAAGGTGGATCTTCTTACCTCAAAAACCTGGGTTAAAAATGTATCTTCCTGCTTCAAATTAAGCAGAAACCCCTCCCAGATAGGCCTCTATTTCGGGATTTTAGTTACTGCTATATTCCCTGGGACATAGGTCTCCTAAAAGAACTCTTTGGAGTGTTACTGGCAGTAGCTTGGAGTTATGTCTCCAGGCCTCACCCCACAGCTGCTGGCCCTTCCACTTCACCCTCAGCAAAATATTGAAAGAGTTGAGAAAGTCTGAATTTCTATGGCAAGGAAGAGAGAAATGCAAGTTCCAAGGCCCTGAGGCAAGAGATGACTTGGCCTCTGTCATCAGTGTCTGGGGTTGAGCAAGTCAAGCAGAACAGAAAGTCATTAAGTGAAAGCGGAGGAGGGCCACGACCACACAGAGCTTTCTGGGAAACTAAAAATGGTGAGCTCAGGCCCAAGAGATGGCTCCGTGGTACAGGTACCTGCCACCAAGACTGATGCCCAAGCTGGATCCCAGCAGGAAGGAGAACGCAGACTCACACCGTGTGTGTGTGTGTGTGTGTGTGTGTGTGTGTGTGTGTGTGTACGAATGATTGCTGGGATTAAAGGTGTACACTGCGACCACCTAGCCAAAGATTTTGGTTTCTCTGAGACAAGTTTTCTCTGTAACTTTGGTGCCCATCCTGGAACTAGCTCTTATAGACCAGGCTGGCCTTGAACTCTCTGAGATCCGCCTGCCTCTACCTCCTGAGAGCTGGGATTAAACGTGTGCCTGACCACCACTCGGCCAAAGATAGGTTTTTTTTTAAAATTTATTTATTTATTTATTTTGTATACAATATTCTTTCTGTGTGTATGCCTGCAGGCCAGAAGAGGGCACCAGACCTCATTACAGATGGTTGTGAGCCACCATGTGGTTGCTGGGAATTAAACTCAGGACCTTTGGAAGAGCAGGCAATGCTCTTAACTACTGAGCCATCTCTCCAGCCCCTCCAAAGATAGTTTTTAAAAAGAAAAAATGTTGAGCTCTACTCAGGGTCTTGGTGTACTAGGAAGACACTGAAGGACCTAGAGCTCCAGAAACAACATCATATACATATACATACATATATACACATACATATACATACATACACACACACACACACGCACACACATGTTTTTTGAGACGAGGTTTCTCTCTGTAGCTTTGGAGCCTGTCCTGGAACTTGCTCTATAGACCAGGCTAGCCTCGAACTCTCAGAGATCCGCCTGTCTCTGCCTCCCGAGTGCTGGGATTAAAGGCGTGCGCCACCACCATCTGACCATGTTTTGTTTCTTGACCTGGAGAGAGGGCTCTGCAGTGAAGACTACATACTGCTCTCCCAGAAGACCTGACTTCAGTTCCCAGTGCCCACTTCAGTCATCTTACAAGCTTCTTAACTCCAGCTCCAGGGAATCCAAAGCCTTCTTCAAGACCCCAGGACAACTTCAAAGTGTGTGCACATACACACAGGCAACTGAAAATAAATATTGGCCAGGCAGGTGGCACACACCTTTAATCTCAGCACAGGGGAAGCAGAGGCAGGAAAATCACAAGTTCAAGGCCAGCTTCGTCTACTTACTGAGTTCCATGCCAGCCAGGGCTGCATAGAAAGACCTTGTTTCAAAAAATCAAACCAAGAGGGCTCAGTGGGAAAGATGCCTTCCTGCACAAGCTTGGCCACCTGGCTTAGACCCTAAGACCCACAGCGGAAGGACAGAAGTGACTTCTGAAAGCTGGCCTTTGACTGCCACACGCTTGGCTACACTCACATACCACCCCACCGCTCTCCAACCAAACCAGAAATGCATTGGCACAAAGAATAAAAATATAGCACAGATAATAAAAACCCAGAGGCAGATATTTGGGTTCCACCTGAAGATCAGAAAAGCAAAAGCAGCCGAGACATTAGAAAGCTCTGACCTCTTTGATAATTTCAGACTGAAAGAGAAAGAGTTCCTGTCTCATCTCATTCTCTCTAGTGCTGGGATTAGAGGCGTGCACCACCACCACCACCCAGCCTCTATGGTTAACTAGTGTGGCTGCTGGGATTAAAGGTGTGTGCCACCACTGCATGACATGTGTGGCTGACTAGTCTGGCTGCTTTGCACTGACCTTCAGGTAAGCTTTATTTATTACAACACAAATAATATACCATTATATTACAACTGTGGAAGCTTCGAAGTCCAAGATCAAGCCGTAGATGTGACGTCAGTTGAGGACCTCACAGGTCACATGCCTTTCTTCTGTGTCCTCAGATAGCCGGTCACATTGTGGAATGGCAGAGGGTGTAGGAAGCAATTTTTAACTATGTGAGTGGGAGGAGGTTGTACCCATGTGCACATGCTAAGATATGGTGCTGTCACTTTCTGCCTTGTTTCCTTATGACTGACCAAGTCTCTCCCACTAAAACAGGAGCTAGGCTGGCTTTCTGTGTGGGGGCTGGACACTTGAACTCAGTACCTCATGCATGTGCAAGTGCTCTTGCACGCCTCGATAGCTCCCCAGCCCCTCTCAGAAGTATCTTGGGCAGGGACTCTAATCTCACTCATGAGGAACTTGCCCTTTTGACCCAATCCCTCCCAACACTCACATCTAATGCAGCTACCTCTGGGCTTAGAGTTCCAACAGATAACTGAACCCACGGCAGGTGGTGAGACCACAGATGTACGTTGCCCCTAAGCTCAGATCAAAGTTATACGCTCAGTATCACCAAGCATTTGGCACCTGCATAATCAAGCTGTTACAACTCAAAAAAACAGGAAGAGGCACCAGTATATACTGAGCCCAACCAACAGGCCCTGCCTCCATCCCTCTGACCTGACAGGCTCCATCTTTTTCCCAGTTGACTACGCTACAGTTTCTTGTTTCTTGCCAGGTGGTGGTGTATGTCTTTAATCCCAGCACTTGGGAGGCAAAAGCAAGAGGATTTCTGTGAGTTCGAGGCCAGTCTGGTCTACAAAAGCAAGTTCCAGGATAGGCTCCAAAGCTAGAGAAACCCTGTCCTGTAAAACAAAAATCAAACAACAACAACAAAAAAGATATGTTCTTGTTTCTGGAAATGCCCAACTCATTTTCTATCTCAGGCTCTTTTTGTTGTTACATTTGTTTGCGTGTGTATGCGCCCACACATGCACGCAAATGCAGGTATCCACTCATGCCACAGCACGTGTGTGGAGGTCAGAGGACAATTTGCAGGAGTCAGCTCTCTGTTCTCCATAGAGATCGAACTCAGAACTTCAGCCCTGGCAGAAAGCGCCTTCACTCGCTGAGTCTTCTTGCCAGCCCCTCCCTCATTTGGCTTTTTAGTGGTAAAGACAGAACCTTATGGATTCTAGGGAAGGGCTTTGCCACTGAGGCACACCCTGAAACCCAGTCTCAAGACTGGGCCTTTCCTGCCATATCCTAGCTGTCCTCACAGCTTGTGTCTCTTCACCTCAGATTTCTGAAGAGGCCCACTCTAAAGAGTGTCTGCATTCCAACCCTGGCTTACTGCCTGAGAGGCTCTGAAATGATCCCAAGGATATGTTTTTGTTTTAGAGACTGTAGCCCTGTAGGCTGACCTCAAACTCAATACTCTTGTCATAGCCTCCTGAATACTGGCCATGCCTGGCTCACAGATGTGTTTACTGTAGACCCCTGCCATCTATACTTGCACCTGCATCTGCTCACTGTGCAGCCCCGTACTGAGAAAGGAGCCTGCAAGGGGCTGGTAATGTGCCTCAGTGGGCAGAGCGCTTGCCTGGCACACTCAAAACCCTGGCATCCATCCTCAGCATCCCATAAACAAGGAGTGGCAGTATACACCTAAAATCCTAGCTCTTGGGAGGAGGCAAGAGAATTAGGAGTTGAAAGTCATCCTCAGTTACATATGGAGTTCAGGTTCATTAAAGAGCTCCTGTGTAAAAATAATAGCCTGGCAAGATTGCTTAATAGTAAAGGCACTTGTCACCAAGTCTGAGCACTTACGTTTGATCCCTATGACCCATAGGCTAGAAGGAGAGAACTGATCCCTACAGTGTCTTCTGGCCTCCACATGTTTGTTACAGCACAAACACATGAACACAAAATAAGTAACTGTAATAATGGATAAATAAAACTGCACGTGAGTAAGTATTGGGGAGGAGCAACCCTTGTTAAATAAATGGAATACACTTTGAAAAAAACATTATTTTTCTTTAATAGTAAAATACTATATACTGTAGAAAACTTGGAAAAGGCAGGATACATAATACAGAAAATACCATTGAGAATCCTTTTGAACACTAGGACAATTCAACAGCTTGTCTTCCTTGCCCCCTGACCTCATTTCCCAAGCATCTGGCAGACAATCAGGCAGACCTCAGAGCCCTGAACTCTGCCCACCTGCACCCTGAAAATGGCCCCTCTACAGTGGTCTTCTGGGGTCCTTTAGAGATTAAGGCTTTCCAGGGCTCCAGTGTGGCTCAGGAGCACAGCAGTGCTGGCCTAACATACCTAAGGCCATGGGTTTGATCCCCGGGTATTGGGGGAATGGTAGAGGGTAAAGATATGCAAATGAATCATGAGGTAGCTATGATGCCTGTTCCTAAATGTGTGAACTGGGCCTCCCAGAGACTGGGTGACAAGGCTGAGGCCATCCAGATGACAGAAAACCCCAGCTCTGCAGGCCCCAAGGTCCTGGAACTTTTCCTTGTGACCTCCAGTTCCCTCAAGCCTGATTAATGTACAAGCTTCAGTTTGCTGCTTAGAAGGTCAACTTTAAAAGCTAGGATAGATCCCAGGGATGGATGGGTGGTGCCTTCACATCCACCAATCCATGGATTCTTTGGGACAGGCCCTGACAATAACCATACAGTGGGGCAGGCCCTTGCATAGGATCTTCTCTGCCTCCTGGCCCTCCCAGCCCAGCCCTTGCACCTCAAGCACTCTGAGTTTAGGCATGGTGAGGCAAGATGACACAATCTGAGCAGGTGTAGGCATTTCTGGGGTGATGAGGGGTCCCTGGAAGCACAAACTCTCCAGGGCAGGCATTCCCTCCAGGAAGACCAGGCCTTGGGCTGAGAGGCCCCCAACGGTCAGCCGAATCTTACGCACATCTCGGAGGTGGCGGCTGATGGCCAGCAGGGTGCTGTCGGCCGACAGGGTACAGCCCAGCACCTCCAGTCTCTGCAGGTAGCTGAGCTCCTGGAGGCTGGCATCCAGCCCGGTCTCGGTGACCCGGTAGGTGCCGCCCAGCACCAGCGAGCGTAAGGCTCGGAAGCGGGTGAGGCCCTGCAGGTGCTCATCCCGGAAGGCTGGCACTCGGTCCAGCACGATGCATTCCAGCAGTGGCAGCACTGTGGGATCCTGCTCCTTCTGCAGCCAGATCATCGAGATCTCGCAGCTGTGCAGCTCCAGGGTCCTCAGCGTGCAGGGCAGGCTGGTGATAGGCACCATGCTCAGGTCAGCCACGTGCAGGCACAGGCGCTTCAGGTTGGGGCACTTCTGGCCCAGGGCCCGCATCAAGGCAGGGGACAGCTGTGGGGCCTGAGAGCCAGAGAACAGGTAGCCACCCATGCGCAGCGAGTGGAGCCTGGAAGCCATGTATCGGCGCAGAAGGTGCCACATGACTTTTGGACGCATCTGTAAGAGCCAGAGATTGGGGTGACTAGGTGAGAGGTACAGGGGCTCTCAGAGGATCTACCTAACTGGTGACAGACATGCATGGGATCTGGGTTCTGGTGTCCCCCCTGGGATTTGGCTCTTCCACCAGTTTCCTCCTAAAGCAAGGTAGTTTCTTTTGCTGGGTAACAAGCCCTTAAACCCAGCTAGCACATAGGGGAGACTGAGGCAGGAGGATCCACAGCCTGTCTAGTCAATCAGTAGGCTCCAACTTCATGGAAGATTCTGCCTCAAACACAAGCAAACAGTCCAGAGTTATGGCACACACCTTTGATCCCAGCACGGGTGGGCATGGAGGCAGGGGGATCTCTCTAAATTCCAGGCTAGTCTGGTCTACATACCAAGTTCAGGCTACATAGTGAAACCCTGTGTCAACAAAACAAAGCAAGCAAGCAAACAAACAAACGTCACAATGTGTGTGTGAGAGAGAAAGAAGCTGAGGAAGATGCCCTTCAGTAACCTCTGGCCCTACATGCTCTTGAACACATGCATTTGCACCTGTGCATACACAAAGAAATGTACACTTTTTCCATAAAGAAGAAAAACTACACAGAACAAGAGATTCATTGCTGATGTTGGGATGCAATCCACGTGCTGTGAACTCAGCCTCACCAGTTCAGAGCATCCCCTTGTTTTTGTTGGCACTGGGGAATGAACTCAGGGCCGCATACAGGCCAGGCTAGAACAAAGTCACGGTTCCAAGTCTTTTCTGAATTTGTATTTCAAGAGAGGGTCTAGCTAAGTAGTCCAGGCTGGCCTTGAATTTATGATCTTCCTCCCTCAGCCTGCGTGTGTAGTAACTGGGATTACAGGCCTGTACCAGGCTCAGCTTTACGGTACAGATTTTGTTGACCACTTTTTCAGAGAGAAATTAAATCTTTTTCTTTTTTAAATTATTTTGTGTAGTTGCTGGAGAGATGGCTCCTCCTTCTGAAAGGTGTCTTGATATATGACTTTCTCTATTCTGTTACTATAAAATTTCACTGGGCGGTGATAGTAACACCTTTAATACCAGCACTCGGGAGATCTCTTGAGTTTGTTAGGGTCCAAGAGAAACCCCAAAGGAAAGACCAACAGCCACGTACGCAACAGCAAGAGTGCTTTATTAATTCCAACGTTGGGGTGCCACATGGCAACCCCCCAAGAAGGTCAAAAGCTTCTTTGAAGTGGAGTTAGGGGAATTCCAGGGAGGAAGGATTTATCTGATTGGTGGTGGAATGATTAGTCTGGGGGCTGATTGGTGGGAGGTCCTAGTGGTTAGGGACCTTCCAGCAGCAGGATACAGAAGCTATCTCTAGTTATCAGGAGACTGGGGGGGGGGGCGCCTGCTGAGCCAGCAAAGGGGCTTTGGGGACCTGCTGAGCCAGAAGGGGCCATGGGGTATTTGCTGAGCTAGCAGAAGGCTGTGGGGCACCTGCTGATTGGTTGCTCCTCATTTGTGGTTTTCCTGACTGTCTGCTTAGCTCTGTCCCAATTTAGTGAACCAAAACTAAGGCCTGGTCTCTGTCAGGGCTACTAGGAGAGCCTAGCCTCTAGCCTCCCTACTACCCCAAGTCCTCTCAGAGTTCAAAGCCAGTCTGCTTGGTCTAGAGAGTGAGTTCCAGGACTCACAGAGAAACCCTGCCTCAAAAATTAATTAATTAACTAATTAGTTAATTAATTTAATGTAACCATTAGATTTGAACACGTATTTGAGGAAGACTAACTGTATTCTCAGGACACAGTCACTCACATCTGGCTCCAGAATAAACTCTTATCCACTTTATCCACTTCGAAGTTAACAGTTATAGCTAGAATCTATTTTGGGCTACATGAGATCCGTCTCAAAAACCAAAAGAGAACAAAACTAGAAAATCGATAATAGTTATAAGTTTTTATTTATCATATGCTGGAGACCAGATATGGTCTAAACCATCTCCCTATGCAACTGGCTAAGTCCTACAATACATCAGGCAGGCAGGTACTTTTTCTTATCTCTTGGTGTTAGGGATAGAGTCCAGGGCTTCACCAGGGTCAAATAAGCACTCTTTTTAATCCCCACTTCTTGGATGAGAAACTGAGGTCTGGGGGTTGCTGAGAAGGTAAAGGCTAGCGCCAGGATAGACATGCAGGAAATCACAGCATGAACTCACTTCAAAACCAAACCAAGCAAGCCCGGCGGTGGTGGTGCACGCCTTTAATCCCAGTATTTGGGATGCAGAGGCAGGTGGATCTCTGTGAGTTCGAGGCCAGCCTGGACTACAGATCGAGTTCGAGGACAGCCAAGGCTGTTACACAGAGGAACCTTGTCTTGAAAAAGGAAGGAAGGAAGGAAGGAAGGAAGGAAGGAAGGAAGGAAGGAAG